ATACACATATATATTTTTGGTATATAAAAATGTATGTATGTATCTTATGTGTGTTGGGTTAGCTGAGTCACGCGAGTATTACTTTCTTGATGAACCTAAGTGGTCTCTCGTTTATTTACTTTGTTCCATTTTACCAAATCGAAGATACTTTCATTTACTTTTTATCTTTTTTCATTGACGTTATTTCCGGCCATTAGACTTTCCATTCAAACGTTAACAATCAAGGAACAACGAGCTTCTTTATATTTGCAACAGATCAAATGACATTTCAATTTTTTCAAAATTACCATTAAACTGTAATTTGTTGTACGAACACATTTGTTGATTTATAAATTGTATATCTCCTTTTTTTTCATTTTTATAAATTGCAGTTATTAGATATTCCATTGAAACATTATCAATGAACTAATGAACCTTTTTTTTTTGTTACTTTCAACTCGTTAATTGACATTTTGATTTTATTTTTCAAATTACTACGAATATGATTTATATTTTTATGTGATACTATATGTTTGAGTTTAATAAAAGAAATTGTGAGTGTTTGTGGTAGGATTATTGTAATATAAAAAAGGGTAAAGAGAGAAACTAGAATTAAAAAGTGATCGATCCTACTGTTTGCTCTGGTGGAGCAGAAAATTGACAGGCATCGGATGTTGGAATTCAGATTACACGAGCTCAGTTTGAACCATTATATGGAATAATGGAAGGTAGCGACAGTTAGGTAAACGTTAGGTATATAGTTTCAGGCAAAAATCGATACACCACTGTCTACCAAGAACGATATTTCTGCTAAACATTTAATTTCTCTAAACTCAGGACCGTATACTTATCATTAAAATACTTCAAAAATATTCAACCAATTACAATACTTCGAAAACAAGAAACCAAACTTTAGTTAATCAAATTCATAAGGTTTTTTGTTTTTTTTATTTTTCTTTCTTGTATTTTTTATTATTGGTATTTTAAGAATATGATTTTTCAATTTAGTTATACAATTAAATGATTTATGCTACCCTCTTGTAAGATTGTTAAGAAAATTTGTTTCGTTTTGTACGGATTGGTTGAAATGATAAAAAATTGTTTGTTTATAATTTTAGAACGAAGATATTCCGAGGGAAAACATAACTGAAACTCTTGGGACGATGGCTAAAGTCTGTTTGAGAATGTTGGAAAATCCGTAAGTGAAATAAATAACTTTGTATATAAACGTTTTCAAACTTTTATCATATTATATATATATATATATATAAATATATTTGTATATATAACATTAATTTATTTCGTAGAAATCTGTTGGCCCAGTTTCAACGAGAAGAAACTCAATTATTCGTATTGAGAGTTATGGTAGGATTGGTTATACTTTACGATCATGTTCATCCACAGGGTGCTTTCGTTAAAGGTTCGAACGTTGATGTGAGTAAAATATAATTTTATTTATAAATAAATTCTAATCATGATTAATATATATGATATAATAATAATTCATTTGGTTTATTTTAATACAAATCTTTACACAAAATTAAGTAGAAGTATGATTTTTGAAAAATAATTGATAATTAGTAAATAAAAAATTATTTAAATGAAATTACATAAACGTGTTAATGGATTTCGATTATGATTGACAAAAATTATTAAAATACAATAACGTAAAACAAATGAATATTTATAATTGATCAATAATAATTATTTCAATAAATTCATGGATACATTTTTTTTTCACGTGATGAAACGAAAATCTTGTTAATGAACGTTTTGTTTGAAATTACAGGTAAAGGGTTGTGTAAAATTATTGAAAGATCAACCACCATACAAAAGTGAGGGTCTTTTAAACGCGTTGCGTTACACGACGAAACATTTGAATGAAGAGAACACACCGAAAAATATAAAAAATCTTTTAGCAGCATGATTACCGAAACAACGCGGCTGCTGCATCAGAAGTTGATTGTTTTCGATGGCCGCGAATTAAAAACAAATATCTGATTTACGAATTAATCGTAACTCAAATGCGAGGTCACTATCATTTTTTATTCAGCGTATTTTAAATATACGACGGACATTACGTGCAAGAGTTTTATGCGAATGAATTGAAACGACCGAAAGAATGCAAGCAAGTAAACGAGCAAAACAAAGAAAAGCAAAGAAGATAAAAGGATTGAGGAAGAAAAGAAAGAAATGAAAAAAAAAAAAGAGAAAAAAGATGTCCGTGTGTATGTACGCCATGATTATCCCTAAAGACCTCCGGATCCTAACGAATAAAATAAAAAAATACCAAAAAACCACAATCACCACCACCAACACCACTACTATCACCATTCTGTTTATTGTGGATGCTGGGCTATGGCTACTGGACCACGATGTCTTTCGAAAACGCTAAAAGTTTATACAAAAAAAAAAAACACTCACAAAAACAAAAAAATATGAAATAAAAAGCTGCCTCTTTGAGTCAACTGCCCCCGAGTTTGTAACACCGATGGCATGTTGTAAGAAAAGAACAAAAAAAGGAAAATAACCACGACATAAAAAAGAAGTACTGTATATTGTACTGTATATTGTAGACGAATGGAAATTCGACAATTTTTTTTTCACGATAACGTATCCGCATGATTCGTTAGAAAGAAAAAAAATATATCGTTAGTTTCTTCTTTTTTTTCACGAGTACATTCGAATGTTTAGTCTCCCCATTTTAAAATGAGTTTCTCATTCTCGTGGAAAATTTTTCTTTCTTTTTTTTTTCGTGTGAGTAGAAATGTTTTTTTAGATAAACGTGGAAAAGCCTTGCTTTTTTTTAAAAAGATTTTCTCGTTAAAAAATTTCGATGAAACACGTTAGTAAAAAAAGAGAAATGAAAAATTTAGGAGAAAGGGGGGGGGGAGAACTGTGAAATCAAATTTCACGATTCGAATGTACGATAGATGAATTCGAATTGTTGATCGTGTGTATTCGTTTTATTAAACGACGATTACCGATCGTTAATTTAAAATAAATACGCCTCAGGCGTTCTCTTCTTCCTCTTATTATTATGATGATGATGATAATGATGATAATTACTATTATTATTATTATTATAATTAATATATTAATATTACGATTATACATGATTGCTATTATTATATAATTAAGATGATGATGATGATTATTATTATTATTATTATTATATTTAATTTTTATTATTAAGTCGATTATAATGGACACTATTTGTCTCGAGGAAAGTTTTAGATAAAAAAAAAAAGAAAAGAAAAATAATTCGATTAAAATCGCTCATTGATGATATTATTGCGCCTTTAAATGAAAAAAATGAAAAAAAAAAATGAAAAAAAAAAAAATAATGAGCGTCCCGTTAATTAGACCATATCATATAGTGTATTTTAGGAGTAATTCCAATTACGAAACTTTTGCGAGATTTATGAAAAGAGAGAAATGTTTAAATCACGTTGTGGATATTGTGCAGATTTTTAGCTCTTGTTTTACTTTGTTATTCGACGAATTTAAAGTTTGAAAGGTTAAATGAAAGAGAGAGAAAGAGAGAGAAAGAGAGAGAGAGAGAGAGAGAGAGAGAGACAGTGATAGAAAGAAAATAAAGAAATAGAAAGTAAAAAAACAAATAAACAAAATCTTGATAATTAAAAGGGTTTAGTATAACAAAATCGTTGAAGTCTTCTAAAAGTTAAAAAAAAAAAAATTCAAAAATTCACGTTGGAATTGATTCTTAAGGTTTCATATTTATTTTTAATTGCAATTACAAATTTTGTTGACACATAATTATAACGAAACATACGAAATATGACTCGAAACATTGAAAAAGAAAAAAGAAAACTAGATGCATTTTATTTAGACGAATCCTATCTAACGAAACGTTTGTTAAACTGAGAAAGAGTAATAATAATAAATTAATTACTTACATGATATAATAATTAATCGATAATTTTGCAAAATAATATCTGAGGTAGGATTTTTTGTACGCGAATAGAAAATACGAGTACCAAAGAATAATAATTGTACCTACGGCGTGTAAAGAAGACAGTGCATGTCCCTTATATTTCATAATTGTTATATTATTTTTTATCATTATTGTTAAAGTAAACAGCTATGAAAAAAAGAGTAAGAAAGAAAGAAAGATATGAGATTAGAGAGAAATAATAAAAGCAAGTTAATAATACTTTATACTGCCGATCAATGAGACCGAGAGGTGTATGACCGTATGACAACACTTTAGCGGTACAATATCAATGTTTTCACGAATTTCTCAAATTTCACCAACCTACGAATAAAATATTTACGCGAACATTATAATATTAAAGTAATTTATTTCCTATATTGTCTAATATGTTGTATATTTTCTTCTCTTAAATTCAAAACGTTGTTGTCATTTAGGTGGCTCAATGTGAACTGAAATATATCGACCGTTTGTTTATAAATTTGTTTGTTTACTTTCATTGGGACAAAATGAGTATGCGCCTGAAGATAAGCAACTATCTACAGTGTGTAACAAAACATTTTGGATTGTATACCTACAGGGGTTCGGTCGGTATACAGTTCTATTTGCCACTGTAGGTAGGTAACAATACTTATATATATTTGTAAAGCAACTCGAGTCGGTACAAAGTGTTGCATACTTTCAGGCGTTCGATTGGTAAATTATCAAACGTTGATCCTTTTGAAATACATGTAATATTATAAATTTAGTTGCCCCTGATGGCAGGCAACTGTTTATACATGCATAGGAACGTAATGCTGTTGGTATGAAGTGTTGCATACATTCAGGCGCTCGATCGGTAAATAATCCAACGTTGATTCTTACAAAATATTTATTTATAAATTCAGAAGGTAATATATATTATTTTTGTACTTTTATCTTTTTCATTCGATAATAAAAAGAATAGTGAATTGTTGTCGTTTCATCCCAACAGTTGGAAATAAAGTTTGAATAGAATTTAGCTTTTATGTTGTGTAGAAGGAAAAAGTGCTGCTAGTTGAGGGAATAAATTTGCTCGTTCGATGGTAGGTGGCCTTAGAAAAAGAGAACGCCATTACACGGCGCCACAGTGGTTATTAAGGCGCAATTCTTTAAATATTGATTGAAAGTGGGTGCAAAACCGGTGGGAGGTGGTGTGGTAGTTCATGGATGGTTGTGGGCTCAAAAGGAGTGAAAAAGACGACGGAGGACGACCGGCGTAGGAGAGACTGTGGCGGAGGTTGGACAAACGGGCGAGATGAGATGAGAAGAAGAAGGTGGACGAGAAGAAGAAAGACGAAAGAGGGGAAGGGAGAACCGTCTATAATATATGATGGGCGCGGTCGCTTTCTATGGATTTCTTTTATCATATAAATGCAAACACGTTCGTTGATCAATCTCTAATTATCCTGTTTTTACAAAAATATAATGTGAAAAAATTAAAAATCAAAAATTTTAGAAAAATATTTCAATCTCGATAATATCTAATATAAAAATTATTATCTCGAATAAACGAGTATGCAATTACGTTTACATAATTTTTCTAATCATAAAATACACAATTTAAATCACTTCGAATGTGACTTGTTGAAATAAATTATTTTCATTCGATTTATTACTAACAAATTTAATTAGAATATTAAATGTATTTCTTCATGTAAACAAATATAAAATTTGGTTGCTTGTTTATAGGGTAAAATTCTAATTGTAAAAAATAAATTGACCATTGGCTTTCGGGAAAGAGGAAGCCATCTTTCGAAAGGCGTCCGAGAATGTCAGGCCGTTTTTGTTTTGTCTTTCGCGCAACCACCACCACTACCTCCACCACCATCACCACCACCACGACCACTGCCATCAGCACCACCCTTACAGGATTTTTCCTCCCTTTTTCCCTTTCGTTCTCGTCTTTATCGTCGTCGCCGTAGTCGTCGTCGTCTTAGAACGCTGCTGCCGCGACCCTCGCCACTTTAGTCGTGCTACCTACCAACCCCTATTTTTTTTTGGACCTCACCAAAGCAAGAACGTTCATGAGAGAGAGAAAAAGATGGCGATAGAGACCCCTATGGATTTTTTCTGTACCGTGAGCATCCCCCCGTTCCACCCCCCTCTACCAGCTACCACCACGACACGACCCTCCGTCGAAAATACCGTCCGCGGTATTTTAAGGGCTGACATAACCCCTGCCAAGAGAGTTAAAAAAAAAATAAAGAAATGAAGAAAATTTCAACCCTCAATTTGTTGAACTGCTTGCCCGTTTAATTGTGATATCCATTTTCTTCATCTTATTCTTTCTCATTTCTACGATTTATCTTTCTCTCTCTCTCTCTCTCTCTCTTATTAACACTTTGCTCTTTGCCTTTATGATTTTGATTTTATTTTATTCTTTCAAGCAATGGCTTTCCAGCCCTTGAAAAAAATTGGAACTGCTTGTTTCGTAAGGGCTGTTCTCTACGGATTCGTTTGATTCTCTTTAAGAATTCTTTTTTTTTCCATTTTTTTTCTTTTCTTTATGTCTCTGTTAGCGACAACACCATTGTTCGAGAATAATAATCAAACTAATCCAAGCGCGACACACCCTGTACATTAATTCTTTCCTTTGCACGGGTTTAGAATCCCTACCCCGAGGTGAAGTGTGTGTATGTGTGGGGCCACTTCAAAATCTTACCGATACGAATCGCATTTTGGGGGTTTTATTCTTTTCTTTTTTTCTTTCTGTTCAGAGATATTCTCGATGTCTTTGTGTTTGTTTAAATTTTAAACAGATACTTTTTTAAAGATACTTAAAGTATTGGTCCAATATGATTTTTATCTATGAATTATTCTACGAAATTATTAAAGGTTTATATTAATAAAAATAGGATTATTTTTATAATAAATTAATTAGGTGGGTATCGTATTAACACACAATTACTTTCTATATAATTAATATTATAGAGGATATATAATATATTTTTTCTATATAAGTATTACTTACAAAATATAATTATTTTTAATCATTTAAGTTATATTGTATATATTATTGATATATTATATTTTATATATTTATATTATTTTATATTTTATATTTTATATAATATGAATATATATTTTTATATATTTATATAATATAAATAATATAATAATATTATAATAGAAATAGTATAATAATATAAATAAAATATAATATAAATAGTATAATATTATTAAAGTATTAATATTATTATATATATTGNTTGGACATATGTTTATTTAAATATGTAATTTGAATTAGATAAGAATTTCAGTTAGGAAAACATATCAATAAAAAATTAATATTATTATATATATTGATATATTATATATTCTAAAAAATTATTAAATGTTTATATTAATAAAAATAAAATTATTTGTATATTAAAATTAGTACGTACGTATCATATTAACAATTATTTTCCATATAATTATTATTACACCCAATATATAATATATTATTTCTATATAAATATTATTTACTATATAATTATTTTTAATTATTTAAGTTTACTCATTCATATATTATGTATAATTATTTAAAGATAAATTAAATCTAA